TCTAGAGGATCCCCGGCAGGGCCCGCGAAGGCCCGGATTCACGTATGCTAAAATGTATTTCGGAGTGGTTCGGCTAAAATACAGCATTTTCATCGTTGGCCCGGATTACAAGTATGCATTTTAGAACCTTTTTTTGGAATTTTCGGTTTTGTTATTTGACAGGAATCAACATAAATTGTCTCAAAGTTAAAAAATAAGGAGCTCTTCTATTATAGGTTTTAAGGTGTCCTCAATTTTTCAGATAAAATGCTCGAAAAGTCGTTCCTCGAATTCCTACGCACCGCAGCAAAACAGGGAGATTTGGACCTGCCCGTCGTCTTCCAAGAAGCTCTAAAATTGAATTCCGAAACTGAAAATATCCCAGAACTTGATCAAAGTTAGGATTTCCAATTTCCCCCTTTTTCCCATCTGTTTTTTTCCTATCTATTTTGATATATTTCCCTCTTTTCATACTCTCAACACGTCATCCCAATCAATGTCTTTGTTTTATTGAGTTTCAAAATATTTTTTCCACAAAACCCGTTAATATTTCCTTAATAAATTAAATATGCAAATCTTCAATATTTTCTGAATTCGTTGGGGTTTGCGGTATTTTTTTTTGAAATGTTTTGTCCCAATGACAGGAACGATCAGGGCAATCGCCTAAAAAAGAACCGAGTTACTATCCAATTCTGAAGCTATTTCGTCTAACAACGAAAAAACATATGTTTGAATCTTCAGAAATATCAAAAATATAAAAAATTCGGCGAAAAACGCTCGAAAAATGATGAAATGCCCCTAATAAGGTCGTCGACCAAAGCCCCGCCCACATTGCACGCAAAATTCAGTGGGCGGCGGAAACCGGGAGATGTCGGCCGCAACGGAAACCCTACCTATATAATCATCCTCGTTTAGGTGGTCTTTCGGTCACTCAAATCACTCAATATCTTCTGAGTCAGCTGAGATCCTAGGATGGTTGGCGGGCAGGGGAGCTCCTAGGGTAGTATGCATTAGAGTTCCGTCTCGCGAGCATTGGCATCTGGCAAGAACGAGAATCCTTGCAGGTCTTGCAAGAAGTTTTCGGGACTTGTCTTGTCTTGTCTTGCACGTGAAATAAGAAATTGCGAGCATTTGCAAGAACGAGAATTTGCGAGACGAGAAAAAGCGAGCATTTGCGAGCGCGAGACGAGACAAGCATTTATGCGAGACAAGACAAGACAGTCGAGATTCTCGAGACGAGACAAAAACAAGAAGTTGCGAGTCATGCAAGAAATTTCTCGCAAGACTCTAGTATGCATATTCCCTAGGGACTCAGAAGAGATTGTGTGATGGAAACCCCCGAGATACCTAGGGTATATCCCGGGAATTTTCTGAGCTCTCAACGGCTTGTGTTGCAAAAAAAAACTAGATCCGAAGAATAATTTTGGAAAAATGTTTAATTTTCGTCATTTTCGTCCGCTTTTCGTCCGTTTTTCGTCCGTTCAGGTTCGTCCGTCAGGTTCGCCCGTCAGGTTTTTTTGTCAGGTTCGTCCGCCAGGTTTTTTGTCATGTTCGACCGCGTGGCGTCGCCAAACGATCGAACCTGACGAAAAAACCTAACGGA